CCAGTATCGTCGACTTCGCGTTTTCCCACGACGGACATGATATCTCTTCAACCTCCATTTAAAATACTGATAAATGCTTGTCGCCTTGTGAAAGTCGCGACTTCATAAATCGCGCGCGACTAGCCGCACGCGACAGCTGCCGCCTAAACTTAACCGCGCGCGACTCGGCTGTCGCGCCGTCAGTCAGAAATGTAAGCCACGTTGATGTACTCACAGGCGAACCACACTTTCTGTCTCAGGGGGGAGGGATGGCTTTCGCGGTTTATCTCAGTCCCTCCAGAAACAAATGCCCTAACATTTGCCTTAGACCAGACCAGGACACTCCCCCATGACAATGACCAATTTGTTAATTCTGTTTAGGTAAATAATCGCTGTTTGTACAGAGATCTGCACGGAGTTACTGACGAAACGCTACAGGATGGAGTTATGACGCCACGTTTTCTCATTCGCAATTCGCCTCAGAGTTTTTACTCTTCCAGCACTGCCACATTTTAATGTTTTGCCTCCGCGAGCTCCTATCTTTGTTTCGCAGAATACTTGACTCGTTCAATTTCTCCCTAACGCAAATAAAAGTGAAATGGTAACTCATGGAGTCTAGCAAGATCAATACACACGAGGTATAAAGCAACAAAGTTCCCTGGTCAACACATTCACAACCACCTGCCTTGAAAAATGGCGTAGACCCCCACACCACGAAACAATAACAACAATAATAATTAACAAAATGTATCGGCCCGTACACAGGACAGCAACAACAAACAACAAAATGGCGTACGTACATTCAAAAGGGCCGTAGCCAATTTAAAAGTAAAGTCCCGGTAGTTATCTGATTGTTATTCGAAGCGAGAAGCTCGCGCCCCTTCTGAGCCTCAGGTCGAGAAGAGAACTTCCATTTGGCGCCGCAGTCGCTGAGGAGGCGCTCCATGTTGAGTAAAAGCTGATTATCTCCGAGTTTACTAAGTTAACGGTCGGGAAATAATTCCCAGAATCTCGTAAGTGCTGCCCCAGAAACACTTTAACTCTTTATAAGACGCTAATGGGCCCGAGTGCACGCGGCTCTCGTTTTGAGACCAAAATAAGACGGAATTTCAGCCACGGGGCGCATTTTGTGTCTAATTTCGTTCTCAGTAGAAACGGTTTGCTATTTAACCCTTTAAACCGCAATGGTAACCATATGTACCACCTGATCTGTTCTTCAGTGACTCTACATTTTGCGTTTTGTATAATTCTCTCTGTAAACAGCGATTATTTCCTTAAACAGCGTTAACCAATCGATCTTTGTAATGGTGAACTAAAGAGACGAGTTAAGAGTAATTGGAGGATAATATTAAAGTAGATCTTTAAAAAATATGGTTAAAAGCGTGGGCTGACGGTCTCTTGCGAACACGTTAATGAACAGTCAGGGTCCAAAAATGACGGGGATTTTCTTACAGAGACAAGCGACTAAAATCTTCTCAGAAAAACAGTGAACCTTCGTTGTTTCCAGTCAATCGATCAAACAAACAAATTTGGAAAATTTCAGGTTCTCTCGGCGGCGGCGATAATGAAGATGGCTGTCTTCTGGGACGTTGCGGCGTGAAGTCTCGTAGAAATTGACCGACGTTTCAGAGGTCCTTACTGCCTCCATATTCAGTGCGATAAATTAGTCATCCCGATGATGGAGGCAGCAAGGACCTCTGGAACTTCGGTGACTCACTGCTACACTATATGGCCCAACATCCCAGAATGCAGCCACGTAAAAATAATTTTTTTTTAAAAAAAAATCAGTTATAATATTTTCTAAGTTAATTAATTCTATAGCTCAGACTGAATACCGTAGGAATTTAAAACAATATGGAAGAAATATGTGAATGCCTAATATAAGACGTCATCCTACCATTTGCCTTGAAGGACTAAGGAAAACTACGAAAAATTCAGTCAGGACGGTCTGTTTGCGGGCCGAAATTTGAACCTGGAAACTTCCGAATACGAAGCGAGTGATAACCACTCGCCAGAGATGTATAATATCGCGCCACGTAACGTGTCTATTCGTAGAACTAGAAGGTTCGACACACCTGATTACATAGCCTAATATTTGGCACTAACTTCCCATTCTTTCAACCTATGTCCTACGATCCCTTTCAATATTATACACACCCACGTACTACTTCAGACCACCTGAGTTGTAATATTTTCGTTACGGACCCGTTATTAATTCTGCACCAACGGGGAATACGTTTGGACAGAACTGTCCGGACCCGTTATTAATTCTGCACCAACGAGTAATACGTTTGGACAGAATTGTTACGTCATTGAGCCAATCACAAACATAACCTCAACTGAGAATATATTCTGATTTCTTTCCATGTTCGTGTATCACTACTATCGATTACACAAACTTGGTAATAGAATAACAATAAAGAAACGCTTTGAGCCTGCAAAACAATGGAATATAAATATATAAAGGTATTGCGTGTACTCACCGATTACTGTTGTGGAATATGCTGTGTCCAAGACCCGGAACGGGCCACTTCAAATCAAACTAGCATCGAGTATAGATGAGTAAATTACACTTGCATGTGAAGTTGTAAATGTTACTACTAAAAGCACAACAACCAACAAATCAAGACACAACAAACTAACAAATTTGATAACGATATGAAGTTTTCGCGCCCAGTGCACCATCAATCACGAATCGTATTCGACGCAGGCTTCTGACAGCGCATGCGATGCGCGACTGTCTATCCGCTTCGTCCGCCTTCCGTAGACTCACTGGCAGCGCCACCAATCTGCATGGCATTCTCTATCGCTGAGCTTACCCCCTCACATCCTCCGCCCCCTAAGTGGGGAAATATTGTGAACAGTCAAATACCCCACAGGTGCGAGATTAAAACAAAGCACCACATAAATACAATAGAGAAAGCAGTCATTTGAACATTACGAAATTTATGTAGCGCAAAGAGCGATTCTGGAAAACTTTCAGATAAGAAACATTAGAAATCAGTTACTAGAATCTTAGCGATCTATTTACCATGCAAAATTTTTATAAAAATGTTAATGGGCCTGTCAAATTCAGGTTATTGATTAATAGCATTACTACTGCAACGACTGTGATTATTTATGCATAACAACTCACTACAAGATAACAAGCATAGATTAGCGCATTACGGAAGTACGCGGTTCAGTTACTGAATACGTACAATCTGTCTTCCCAGTTGCTGCAAAACGTTTGTGGAATTGTTCAGCAATCAATTACAATAATGGCCAATTCCACAAAATTACGTCCAAAAACGGACAATGTCCGTAGTCACATATTAAATCCCACTGACATCCTAGTTAGGATCCATAACAGTTATGATTCTTCGTCCGACAATGTCGAAAATCAAGTTGTGCCACCGGCTGGTCACAGAAGCCATGCGTGGGTTTTCATCGCAACCGACACTGGACCGTGGGTTCGAATCCCACTCAAGGCATGGATGTTTGTCTGTATCTTTCTGTGGATACATTGAGGCGGCCTGGTGACTCGTCCTACCAAATGTCTAAAAAGATTAGGCAAAGAACCTTCAAGGACTGTAGATCCCCAACAGAAATTATGTTTCTCTTTTCACAGGATATAAACAAATTGGCTGAGTGAATATTTGTCGGCGAGAATCTTGATCGATTATGAAGTCTTACATATCGACTTGCTGCACTTTGATCCAGCCAAATTTGTATCTCGCTACATCTGTTATGAGTAATTGGAAATACAAGTTTGTCCTTCAGTACTCCACCACTATTTGGAAATGGCGCTAGTAACGTTAATCGGCGATATTACCAATCGACTATGAAATAAACATCATGGCTGAATATTCAAATGTAAAATCAGGGAAATTGGTATTGAAAGGAGAAAAGACAGGGTTGGTTAATTGATTCAACTGTTGTTTTTGGAGAATCTGCAGTGTGATGTAAAATGTTCAGCATAAGTTGACAGTCATTTTTTGCTGTTTAGCGTGATTTTAGGATGCTTTGTATTGGCACATGAAAACAACTTTGTGCTTTCTTTACATCTTAAAATCCCGTGAATCGAACGCAGGTGTGATCCATCTTATGTCAAAACAGGAAATAGTATGATAGTCCTGACCACACTGCTGTGCTCTTAAATATTATTATGTTATTAAAAGAAAGGTTATGTTACAGATAATGTACTTCTTGTACATGCACATACCAAAACATCCCTTCCTTAATTTAATGCCACCCCTTTTTTGCATCTTTGTGATAAAACTAATGGACATCATTTATCTTTCAGTTCACACAAGAAACGAAAGCATAAGAAACAAAATCGTGACAAGGAGGATATGCCAGTGAAAGATGAAGATGCACTAAAGCATGGTATTGTTCATTGGGTTGTAGTTTGTGCTATGGCCAAGAGATTTCCTACAGAGCATATCTCGCCTTGTCACCCAATTTCTGCTGATAAAATAACATACTGAAATTTCATAACCAATTTTCAGCACTGATGTTGCCATTAGGTTGTTTCAGTGGTACATTTATTCATCTTTAAATAAAAAGCCATTGCATGCGTGGCTGTTAAAAATATTGTTTACTGTTTTTCTGAGACATTGGAATGAGACTACGAAGTCTGGTAAGAAAGTAACAAGTAAAGTCTTTCTTTTTCATTTTTAGTTATAGTCATCCATTAGATGGTCCTGTGATGTGGCTGTAGCTCATCATTACAGGGACTGAGGTTCCCTTATACTAATTTTTGTTTATGCAAACATCTTCCTGGTAATTTCAGATGTTGTAATGTACAATATTTTATCAGCATATATAGCAATTCAAAGGACTGACAAGGTATTTGAGGTGTGTGTGTGTCATAGCGTTTAAGTGTGAGTTCAAAGATGGTGTTTCAGAGGTCCTTGCTGCCAATTTCACCATGTTGGTAAACTTATACCAGACTACACAGCTCTACAACCTAGAAAACAGCCAACTTCTAAATCTAGTTTCATTATATTTTGGTTGTAGGTGGCTGGTGGAAAGTGAAACAAATTGAAGAGATGACTGGCTCCATTGCAGTCGAATTTGGCAACCAGACATATGTGAAAGCTTTAGACAATGGACTGTTCACACTTGGGGCTCCACACAGTGAGGGTATGTTGAATAGCCAGCACATCTGATATGAAATGAGTCTTTTGATAGCATATGCTGCTACTGTATACCTACATTCTCTCATTATTATATTTTTTCTATACTGTATGTAAGATAGTTAAATTTAATAATTTAATATTAGAACATAACTGTGAGGCAGGCCAAAGTTTTTGCAGGCTCAATCTGGGATGTAAGGCATATTTTCCCTATCCCTTATCAAGCATTATACAAGGGCATCTGTTTAACCTAACCTAACCTAGTAACATCCATCCTTCATAGATCATCAGTCCACATGCTACTTCACCTTGTCTGTTGCTACAGATATATGACTCATTCATAGTGACCACTCCTGATGTTTTATCAAAGTGTATCCATCCCTAAGAGGTCTCAGAGACCACATTGCCACCAATTGCATTCATGTTACTTTGCTGTTATTACCTGTCAGAATTAAAAGTGGCCTGTGCAGGTGAAGGTCCATCTCCTGAAGAGGTTCTAACAGCATTCAACGTGAATGACGTGAAAGTAGCCCTCAAGTCCGGATATGGAAAATACCTTCGAGTCGACAAGGATGGGGCTGTGACAGGACGCTCTGATGCTGTTGGGCCAATGGAGCAATGGGAGCCCATATTTCAGGTATCAATAAGGGGATTTTTCTTTCCCCTAACGTCTAGCCCCCTTACTCCTGCTTTATCTTAAGCTATTTTGTGGAATGAATTTGTCCAGTCTCAGTGTCAATTGCTAGAACAGATTCACAAAGTTGTGAATATGTAAATTACATATATCTGTACCAACTGTGTGTACTGTTTTAGGATGGGAAGTTAGCGCTACTGGGATGCAACGGTTGTTTTATGTCTGTTGCCCCTGATGACGACTCAGTGGTGGCAACTAGCAAGAAAGTCGGTTCAGATGAGATTGTAAAGGTTCGCTCACATGCTGTTAAGGAAGTGACACCAGGCTCCAAACTGCCTGAGGAAGAAAAAGGAAGTCTTGCGCAGGTTGAGGTCAACTATGTGTGAGTATTGCAACTTCAGGCCCCCACTTTAAACTGTAGGTCTACCTGAACGCTGGCATCATCCTATAAACAGAGGTAGCCTAGCAACCCCATCTATTCACCAGTGGATAGGATGAACACTATACTAGATCAGGGAATGGAACGTATTTTGTGAGCAAGTCACGGCAAGCTCCAGCGTGTACCACTAAGAAATATAACCCACAAAGATAAGGAGTTTGTAAGGTCTACAATGATGACATGTAATTGTATTTAGTTATGATGACAGAAATGCCTGGTTTTCTACATATATTAAGTTGTATTTTATTTAACAACACTGTCAGTAGCTCAGACTACACAGTGTCATTCTGTCTGCCACCAATGATAAGATCAAAAAATTTATCACTTTTGGTATGCAAGGCCATATTAATCCAGGGGTTATATGAATGTAATCCATCTGTATGCACTTCCCCCTCATCTCTGTCAGCAACTATATGCCAGGAATGTCAAAATACTGTAATTGAAGACTGTAGGAGAAACAGGCTGTTTGTTTAAAATATTATTGTTAAATAACCAAAGAATTAATTAAACTATATGAGTAAGTTCATTGCCTCATCACATGCTGATGCTGTGCCTGTTTCAGACGTAAGTTCCAGAAGTTCCAGGACAAGAAGCTACGTGTGAACAGAAGTGACAGGAGTGAACTGGAGCAAGCAAGACAGGAAGGAAACTTGCACGAGGCTTTGCTGGATCGGCGCAGCAAAATGAAGGCTGATCGCTACTGCAAATAGTTAGCAGTGACAATATAGTTCCTCCCAGTCAGAATTTGATGCCACTTTTGGGAATGGTGATAAACGCAAGTTTTATTTATGCATAAAACATAATTTTGTTATTACACCTACTGTGTCTGCTCATTATAGCAAAAAAAAAAAAAAAACCTGCTGAGCCTCTGGTGTCATTTCAAATACAGATAACATTCTCTTTGCCTTATTTCTCCAATGAAATGGATGGCCAGGGTTCAGTTCCAGTCACTGACAGGGATTTTTCTCTACCCAGTTCTGGGCCACACTTGTCTCCTATCAAAACAGTACTGGAGGCTGTTCCCACTATTAAACTTATTAAACTGACCACTCAATTCCAACTCATGCTGAGGTCTAGCATGCAATGATCCTTACCTCCAAGGTGTGATGCTTGGAGATGGTAAAAGTTTCCATGGTTTCAGTATCATATCTAGAGCATTGGGCCCTCCTTATGTCTCGTTTAAGAAGAGAGACTGCCTCCCACACTTCAGATATTCATATTAGTTGGTTCGTAGTTACTTAATTATTTTTCATATCAGAGGGTATTTTGTCTTGAATTAGATCCAAACAGAACCATAAACAGTGATTAGGATTGCTTGAGGAAATGTGGATCTTGGTCACAACTGAGATTCAAACTGAATACCATGAGAGTATCCATCACTACATAAAACTCCCATATTAGTATTATTTGTGGTAAATAATTAGAAAGCTACAAAGGTGGTAGGACTACGGTGATATTACATTCAGACATGGTTTCAAGAAATATTTGGAGGTGGAGACATAGATATGACACCATTAGCACATGATCAAACATTTCATTATAAAATTATAAACTATTGTTTCCCCCACTGTCATGTTGAACCATGGGGTCTTGTAAGACATGAAACCCAGAGAAGTCCCCATGATGTGCCATAACTGTAGAACATCCTTGCTCATCACGAGTCAACATTTGAAACCACAAATTAGATATGTTAAAACATACTGGTTATGACACTAATTTTTCCTTTGTTTAATGTTGATTTATCAACTGAGTAGGTTATATAAAACCTTGAATGTGAGGATCATTATCAATGGTAAGTAAAGAAAAAATGGAGAAGTGGATGTTGCCTGTATTAAGGTTCTGTTCCTGAATTTGCGCGTAAGGAAATACATGTACAGCATCTAGCTAGTCAGTAATCAGGTCAAGATTCAAACCCAATACTTGAAGAATGAAGAGTAGAGCACTAACTATTACAATGCAAAGTGCAATCAAACCTTAGTATCAACTGTCTCTCAAGGGAAACAACAAAATTTCTGCGATCTTTCCGAAGATTTTATTTAAAATATGAGGAGTACATGTATTTTGTTAATCAACTTTACTTCATTTGAGCAGCTCCACTTTCCACTGCGTTACGTGTGTCTTCGCAGCGCGTCTAGTTGTCAGTCTTCATGGCAGACAATATAACATCATTCCCTTCTTTTATATACTACACATATGATATAAGATTTTCTTCAGTTACAATTTAATTGTATGTGAACCCCCAAAAAACTATACAAGATTATTGAACTGATTTGGGTCTTTATATTTGAAACTAAACAAAAGTTCTCTAACTGCACTGACCTCGTGGTTAAGGGGGTGACATCACAACAAATGGAAAATATGTATATAGATAAGCAAAAGTGTATACAACTGAAAAAAGGAAATTAAAAATGCGTATGTAGTCTACCACATGCAAAATTAGGCCCTGGTGGTGTCACAGTAAACAAGATACAAGCCTCTACTGTTGGGCGGTGTGGTCGGTGGGAGGGGGATGTCAACACGTGAAGGGGAGGGGGTACTAGTTGCAGCCCGTTTCAGCTTCTGCGAATGTCTTTCGATGCTTTCAGCCACTCTACAAACTCGTCCAACATTACAGGCCCTGAAAAAAACCAATATTGTTACTTACAACGTTCCTGTTTCATCGTTATGTAACACATTTGTGGAACTATAACACAACCCTATAAAATTACA